TGTGTGTGTATGTGTGTACTGTCAAATCAGATCTGACTGGTACAGGAGGAGACTGTCCCTCCTTCCCCGGCAGAGCATCTGGTGGATTCGAACCGTGCAAAAATAAAATGTTAAATAGCTATGAGTAAAGTGAGTTACTTTTAGGTGGGACCATCTGAACTGAGCTCTGTGGGCTGTGGGGCTGGAGAGAGAGCACGAGATCCCAACAGCTCACTTGCACAGCTCCCTGTGGACACAGACTTTCTTAGATTTTGGTGTTTTTTTTTTAAATTTCCCCTAGAGAGAGGAGGGGAGCAAATGTTATTTTGTTATTTAAATAAACATGGGTTATATACTACTGAACAGACTGCTTCAGTTCATACAAAACTTGACAAATTCTGAGCTGTGGGTTACCTGCCCTCCTTCTTTCCCTAATCCCTCACTCCACCCTAGGATCTCCAGGGGCCTGATGTGGAAACGCTTTAAGTGCTGCTCAGATACCCAAGGGAGCTCTGATGGCCTAGTGGCAAGAAGCTGCACTGCAATCTCAAAGGCACTCAGTTCAAATTCACCAGCTGCTCTGCAGGAGAAGGATGGGCAATCTCTCCCCTGCCTGTGCAATTAACTGCCTCTGGAAACCCATCAGAGGACCAACATTGGGTCAGTTCTGACTCCATGGTACACAAAACCAACACATACCAGGGGCATTTTAAAACCAAGAAAGTGACATATCCTTATTTTGCCTGGAAAAGAGGGCGGGGCAGCGCACGTGATATGTGTAACTTACATGCAACACTGATAGAGAGGGGCGAGGATGCTTCTCTCATCCAGCGAAGGGTTCCCAAAGCTGCAAATGAAACGAAAACCTAGTGAATTAGGGAGAAGTATCAGTTCCCTTCTTCGCTTCAGAGTAATCAAATTCCCTTCTTAGCATCAAATTCTGTAAGAAACCTAAATGTGATCCTTGATAATTTCATGCTCCACGAGCTCACATCATTTAAATTAAAAATAAACAGGGCATAACCAATTAGACAGAGGAGCCCCAGAGCCTGAGTTGAAGTACTGAACAACAAACATACTAATTTACAAGGATATTTTCTCCAAGATATTGCAAGGTGCTGGAGCATAACTGTGGTAGCACAACACTGTGGAGTTAACAGACTGAATGAGAATGAAAAGACCAAAAACCTGCAACGTTTTCAGGCACCAGGAAAGAAATAAAGGCTGTTCATATCAGATCACTTAAACGAGTATATGATCATCACATCAAAAAAGTTTTAATTGTTTGATTCCAAAATTACCAACCAGAAAATATTCCAATTATCCTATTTCATACAGAAAGTGGGGGAGGTCTGGTGGCCTACTGGGTAAGAAGTTGTGCTGTCAACATAAAGGCAAGTGCTTCGCAATCACCAGCTGCTGGAAAGTATGTATGAACAGATTGACGCTGCATTCAAATTGCTCAGAGACTGAAAAAACACGGATGCGAAGCAGATGTAAAAATGATCTAAGAAAAATCTCGGAAAAGGAGAGCTGAATCTGGAAGAAGTGTCAATCTCCTAAGAGGGCCTGGGAACCCTCAGAGCAGTGCAGGTCCTCACACAGCCAAGGGCAAAAGCAAAGGCAAATGACTAGTTCTAACATACAGATGATGTTTGGAAAAAACAAAAAAGACAGCTTTCACAAGTATGGACAGAGATTTTCCAGAATTATGGAGTACCAGCATGGGTGGGGACAGGCAGTGTTTGCAGGCCTCCTGCTTCCTGGGACTGCCACAAATGTGTGATAGGGCACAGAGCAGGTGGGGTTACCGAATACGTCAGTGGCATCATTAGCAAATGCTGTCTAAGCAATCTTTACTGAGGACACAGCTCTCAGTTGATTTTCAATACCACTGCCAACGGCTGACCTGATACCTGGAAAATTCTGGGTTCCAGGGGAGTATTTTACTTAGCAAAAACCATTAAACAGAACTCAAAGTACAGGACCAGACCAGGCACCACTGAACACAGAGAACAAACTAAAATTTCCAAGTCGATCAATCAAAGTAAGGACAGAAAAATAATGTTAAAAAAAAAAAATCCAAAAAAGGGCATTTCATTTACTTCAAATGAATAATCTTGTCTTATTCAGGATAAAAGAAACATATGTGTGTGTGTGTGTGTGTGTATATATATATATATAGATATAAATAATTATTAGGTAATTGGTCTCTTCACATGACAATAAAGTCTGGCCCTAGACTGCTATAAAAATTGGCAAGCACTCAATAAACAAATGAATTTCTAAATATTTCATGAACCTTTGGATGGGAGAAATACTACATTTCTTGTTTTATTAAATTGTATTTCTCAAAATTCTCAGTGGCATAGTCAAGAAAGAGTAATAGAGGCAGTGTTAAGTTAAAGACCATGGGTTCCAGGTATCTGTGAGGAGTCTCAAAGTCTTCAATCTGTGGGAAGACCCACTTCTCCAGCTTAGAGTGCTCCTAACCCTATGGGGGAAAGAGCACAAACCCGGTGTGGAGGGGCAAGGCATGTCCGCCGTGAAGACACCGAGCAGAGAGCGAAGGGCACCTCTGTCAGCGGCGCCTGCATGCATGCCGGGACACCTGGGAAGGCATCCTCCCCCTTGGACACAGCTCTAACTGACATGGCTGATTCTGGGAGGCCCACCTTTTGGCATTATCAAGAAGGATGAGCATGCTGGCGCCTTCATCATCTTGAAAGCTCTCATAGTGATGCCGGTCAGCATTGCCGATCAGGTAGTCGAAGACTGCTGTGTCAATGATGTCCAGGAGCCGTGGGCCCGAGTCATAGGGGGATGTTTTCTTCACAGCATCACAGTAGCTCTCATCATACTCCCACCTGGAGGGCAAGCAGCATGGGCAGGGTTACTTACTGAGTGTGAACACGGTATCTGGCCCTGTTTACAACAGAGAAGACAGAGTTCCTACCTGGCAGGTTCACCCTGGATGCCCACAGTCTTTCGTGTGTTGGTCAGAAACCCTGGCTCTCATATAGGCTGACACCCGGCCAAGCACAGGGGAGCATTAAGTAGTGACCCATGGGGCATTTACCTGGCCAATTTGCCCTCTCGGTAAGTCCTGCCCCAAGGGTGTCTGTGTTTCTGCAGAGGCCACACATCTGGGAGCCAAAGCGTGACTGATCCCTCCATTGTGTCTCCATCGGCACAAGCTGGCTCCGTTTCTCGGCAGTAATAACACTTCCCATAGAAACAAGTACTGTTTCCTAAAGGAGAGGAAGGAGCCAAACACATTTCAGGAGAAAAGGAAAATTCCACAATTCACCCCATACAATGTAGAAGAGAACATCTAAGTGATAGTAAAGATACTCAACTTACCACATATAAAACATTTTCTAAATAAGAACTAAAAGCATATGGCGGTAAAAAATCAAAAAGTCACAAGAGGATAGGTACCAGAAAGTCATTTTTCTTTCCTTCTGCCCACATACATCACCAATATCTTCCTAAATGCTAATTAAAGGGAGACAGCAGCCTCTTCACCTTCATGATAGCTGATATTTTGACTAGAGTACCCGGGGAAGGACAAGTCAAGCTGTGACCATGAGTTTGGGTACACACAGGCAGCTTTGAGCAAGGAAGTAAACAGATTGAGGTGTCACAAGTCACGGTTCTCATATATGAAGAAAGAAGTAGGCATACTGAAAAGGAGAAAGGCTAAAATAATCCCGGCAGATTAATTAGAGACTTTGGTATGAACTGTTTGTTTTAACATTATATACCAGGGAGATCTGGTGGTCTAGTGGGGAAGGAGTTGTGCTGCCAACAGCACAGATAGTTCAAATCCACCGACCTGCAGGAGAAAGATGAGCAATCTCCTTTGTTCAATTTACAGCCTGTGAAAATTTACTGGAGAGTCCACTATGAGCACGTTCTGACTCAGAAAACACATGGTAGGTTCAGCATTTCTTAAGCTCAAGGAACTGAAGAACAGATTCAAACCTAGAGTTGCTGTAATCAAGGATGCTTTGGGCAGAATATTAAATGATCCA